CAATGATAATACCAACATGGGCCTGTGAAGCAACGTCCTCCACAACTAGACTGAAGAACAAAAGGACAGCAACTCATCTGTTCCCCTTCCCCAATTCCCCAATAAAATCTTAAAAAACAAAACAAAACAAAAAACCCCCCAGAATCTTTACTTCATTGCTTCAATTGAAAATCACTGAAAAACTGATTTTAGGTGGTGATATTCTATGGCTTATTTATTTATTTATTTTCCTTAATGATGTTTATATTTATAAACTCTTTCTGGGGGTGATCCATTAGCTCAATTGGTTAGAGCATCGTGCTGATAACACCAAGGTTGCCGGTTCAGTCCCCACATGGGCCACTGTGAGTTGTGCCCTCCCTACAAGAGCCAACTATGCCATTGTAGCATGAAAGCAATGTGTAACCGATGACCATGGCTGTTCCCCAATAAGATTTTTTTTTTAAATTAAACATAAATAAATAAATAAACTGTTTCTGGGTAGAGAGAAAATGATTGGTGACAGGCACATATATTCTACCTGGCACCTGAAGGCTGGAGGTAGATACTGGAGATAGACGGTGCTGCCTGCTGTAGCAGGATTTAGGTAGATGTTCCTGTGCCGGTCTGATTTGCAGGCCTCTGTTTCAGTGATTAAAACAAATGCCTGAGTTGAACATGTGGATTGGGATGGTGGGTTCAGACTGTCCAAGAGAGGTGAGGAGGTGTGGATGTGTGATCATGTAGAGAAGGGGCTGAGCTCCTGGTGTGTAGCCCACAAGCCCACGCTAGGTTTCATGTTACCCGCCTACCTTAGGTTTCATGCCCCTGGCTGTGACTGCCATCTCCATGAAACGCTCATCCTTAATGACTTTGAACTCTAAGCAGACAGAGCTGGCCACCTCATAGGCACTCTTAAGTCACCCTCCTGGATGTGGACTCTGTTCTCTCCTGAACTGCAAGGCCTTCCACCATATCGAGGCTGATTTAAGAATGGCTCCCTTGGCAGTAGCTAGCGTCCTTTCGTGTAGGTGGCTGTCTCTCAGAAACCCATGGCAGGGCAGGTGCTCCCACCCACCTTCTCCACAACCTGCGTGAGGTCTGACAGAGATTTAGCTGCTAAGATGTAGCTTCCTGTTCCAGCTGGCAGGGCTGGAGTTAAAGTGAGTAAAATCACCCTGTCCTCTGAAGGATGGGGTTCCATTTTGGAAAACTCAGGTCCTGCATGAGAGGCCTTAAAAATCCCACTCTGAACCTCTCTTTCTAAGTACTCTTCTGAGGACTACAGAATCTAATTTCATTGGTAAATGCTTTAAAAGGGCTGTATTCATACCTCCTCCCTTTCTTCTAGTTGTCAGACTGGCCTTTTTCCGGCCAGGACTGTAGAGCTTTCTGTAGAGCTCTTTCAAAGGCAGCCCCACTATAGGCCACTGACTGGTATGACTGGTATTCCCAAAATATCAGCATTGACATCTGGGAGTCTGCCCTCATCACCACCCACCAATTCTCTATTGCAGCCACTGCCATTTTCTCCAAATGACTTGACTCCAATTCTGGGGCAATTTCGTACAGATATGTGCTACCCTTTGATTCTCAGAAATCCAAGTGTACCAAATATCCCTTTATCTTCTCTCTCCAAACCTAATTCCCTAATCCCTGTCTCTAAGTGTCCTTCCAGATTGGCTGAAGGTGTCTCTGTGCACATGTACATGTGCCTCCCCAACTCCCACCATGTTATGCCATGATTTCAGGAGACTGCCAGAGCCAGGACATCAGTGTGGGTGACCCTCTGGTTGTTAGTCGTGTGTCCATACAAGGAGGTGTCCATCTCCCTGTCTGCCTGCCTTCTTGAGCCCCTTCCCCCACCCACACACCATTCCTCCCTGAGGACTTCTGCATTCCTGGGCTCTTCCCACAAGGGTGCCACACCTGCAGCTCTAGGGCCACAGACCTTGCTGCTCCTGCAGACCCCAAGGGGAACTCTTGTTCTAGCCTGGAGGATTCCCTCTTTCTCCCTCTTCTTCTTCCAGGCTAGTCAGCTTCTTCCCGCAGCTCCCTTCCCAATTTCCTGCTCTCATCACACTTGCCAAGTTCTCTCAAGAGCACAGGGCTTTTGTCACATGCGTAATTTCTGCATTCTAACCAGACAACTACCTCCCATGAGGCAGTGACACTCAGAATCAGGTGGCCACCGCCTAGCTGGGGAGAAGAGAAAAGGGAAAGAGAGGAAAGTATGAATTAGCTTTATGAAAACACTATGTAGTCATGTCATGTCCAGATCACTGATACTTGCCCCAGGAAGTGTGCCAGGTACCAGGAGTGCCGATGTGAATGACACTGCTGGGTCCTAAAAGGATCATAGTCTGGAGGGGGGAGATAGACACGTTAGCTGAGCCCACAGAGTGCTGTGAAAAGCAGTAGGACAGAACACGGGGTAACGTAAAAGACAGGCGTTTAATTGGTGTTGCTGGGAGATAGGGAGAACACACTTGAATGTATGGGACATGAAGGCAGGGCTCTTTTTCTTCCTGTTTTGCTCATTGTTACAGACTCACTTTCTAGAACAGTGCCTACCATATAGGAGGCTCTCAACAAATATTTGCCGACTGAATGGATGAGTAAGTGAGGAGGTGGTGGGGGTCATGGAGGATGGTGGAGCAGAAGGTTCTGTGAGAGGCTTGGGAAAAGATTAATATATCTGTCAAGGTTCTGGCAGAAAAGATGTATAGTCATTTGGGTGACTGGAGAAACATTTAATAAGGTGGTTATGTACAAAGGCCAGTAACAGTGAGGTATGACCACCTCTAGGTTAAAAGGGGCAAAGGAGAAAACCTGGAAGGGAGAGAGGCTATATGGAGAGGGTCACCTTGAGAGGAGCTGTGACCTTCAGTAAACGAACAATAGCAGCCCAGGACGACTAAGCAGAGAGGGAGCCAGGAGACTAAACAACGCAACCTTACTCTCTTCCTTTCCTTCAGTCTCCTATTGGGGCTCCTCATTGATGAACCCCATTGGAAGCTACAGGACAAGGGAGTCCATTGTAGTCTATACAGGCCAGCTTCCTAGGACATGGAACATGGTGGAGAGTAAGTCGGGAAAGTCACACAGAGGCCATCTGGTCACCTTCAGAGAGGAAACACTTGTCCAGAGTGGCTGGATCAGGCCTTGATGGGCCCTGGAAGTCACTGAACCCTTAGCTGGAAACATTGTATAGAAACCCTAATTACTAAAGGACCGAACAGACCTTCTGAGTTTGCAAGAATCACTGCTCACCATCCACTGAATAGCTTATATCTTTCTTCTTTGTACTTTAGGCAAATAATCTTCCGAAAGCCATTGCAGCTGCTCACACCTTTCTACTGAAGCATCCTGATGATGAAATGATGAAGAGAAACATGGCTTATTACAAGAGCTTGCCTGATGCTGAGGATTACATTAAAGACCTGGAAACCAAGTCCTACGAGGTATATTTGGGTTTTTATACAGTAACCACTATGTCTGTCATAACGTGTATTTCAGTGAACAGCTATAGACATCTAAGGACCTCTAGTAATTTTTGATAACATTTAATGAATATTATGACAATAGAAATGATTGACATTTTAGCACAAATTTGATCCATTTGAGAATTAGATTTTACATCTCATAATGCTTTTAAAGCCACCTTTCCTTTAAATGCTACATTTTAGAAAATATGGTCATTTGGTCGTTTAGTTTTAAGATGGTGGAATAAAGACATGTCTTGGAAATCATCCCAAAATGACGAAGAACACAGGAAGCAGAAACATTAAGTCCCCATTTCTGATGAAACTAGGAGATATTTTTGAACACACATGCACACCGCATTGAGTATTGAGGTGGAGGACTGACTTGTTTGAGAGCCTACTTAAATCTATGCATCTGCAAAGGGGAATTCTGATGAGAATTAATGAGGACAATAATAAGAAGAATCTAATCTCTTTAAGCGTTTACTATTGTATGGGTCTGTCGGGCTCAGGAACTGGGAGCATGGGTACCAATGCAGGGTCGGGCAGGATTGAAAACAGAGGAATGTGTTGAAAGTATTCATGGAGAGCCATTAGATCCCAAGGTTTGATTACAGGGTTTCCTACAGTGTGACCAGGCTGCAAGCTCACTTTTTGACCCTCAAAAAATATGTCAAGTCTCTTTTCTGGGGGGCCCTTTAGTTTTCCAGGGAAGAATTCTCCAGTCTTCTGCAGGGCTGGTGGGGTGTCCGTTTGTCTGCTCGTGACTGAGAGCCAGTGTGGAGATGGTGGGGTGGGGGGCCTCACAGCTGAGTCAGAGCCCTCACCTGCTTCCTGGTTTTCAGCCCTGTGCCTCAACCCCAGCTCTGCTCTGCCTGGTCCTTGACCCCTCAGGCTTTAAGGGTAGAATTTCTAGAATAACCCACCAGTCCCTGATGAGGAGTGACTTTGGGAGCTGTGATCCCTTGGGTTGGCAGGCAGGTGCTGGGAAGGAACCCAGGGCTCCCACAGCCCTGTTCAGATATTCAACCCTGCTTTTTTTCCCTGTATCTTGCACCAGCCTTCTGTGATCCCTGCGGTGCCTGCAAGTGCCAACGAGGTGTGTAGCTCACTTTCCCTGTTGGCCCCTCTGTGATAATTTGTTTTTCTGTCTTCCCAAAAGTTGTTGAACTCTCTTGTCTGTTGCGTGCTCCTTTCCCATTCTCCCATAAAAAGGATTTACACCTTCTTCCTTTCTTCGCCGTCATTTTTCATAGGGTTTGGGGAGCAGAGCTGAGTGCATGTGGTCAGTGCACTGTGTTTAGCTGCAAATAGCTAGACCCTTCTTTCCCCGTTGGAGTACTGCTGGGTGTGGCGGGGCTGCCCTCCTGTGCGCCTAGGGGGCTCCCTCACTCTGCCAGGCCTCCTCTTGCTGCTGTCACCCTGCTGCTTCTGCAGAGCCAGCTGCCCGGACTCCCTGCTCATTGACCCATCTCTGCCCGTCTTGTTTCCAGGGGATGCTGCCTGTCCAGGAGGTTTAGGGAGATCCACCCTTCCTACCTGAGGCCTTAAGCATGGTGAAAATTCCAGGTCCAAGGGGTCTCCCTCAGATACCCCCATTCTGGAGCAGCTGCAAAGGAACTCCAAATGGAGAGGCCCATACTTATTTCAAAGCCTGCCCTGACTCCTCCTAGGTAGCGAGTTTCTGTGTGGACCCAAGATCTCTACTTAGTTCTTATGAGGCCAAGCTGTTTCTTCAATCTCAGTTATTTATTTTTTTACCTGGTCCCGCCAACAATTAGCAGAAATGCTTTGAAGTTTCCACTGTCTGACACATGGCTGTCCTACCCAGCGACTCATGCTGTTGCATGGCCCTTCTATTTTATACTTCACTGTTAGGGGGAGAAATGTTTGATACCTGCTCGTAAGAGATATCTTTTCCTTGACTCAATTTTTAAAATGAGCTTTATTGAGGTATAATTTCTTTAAAAATCTAGTTAACAATTTTAAATGTATAATTCAGTGAGTTTGGGCAAATATAGGCAGGGGTATAGCTACCACCATAATCGTGATATAGAATATTTTCCTCTCTCCAAGATGTTTCCTCATGCCCCTTTGCAGTCGAGCCTTTGCCCCACCTGGACCCCTGGAAGCCACTGCTCTGATTTCTGACACAGTGGTTTTCTCTTTTGCCTTGATTTGATTTGATTTTACTATCAAGTGCCTGCTGCTTTTTGAATTACACAAAATAAGAAGCATACCATTATACACAGGGTAGAAAACGCTAGACATCAGTTAAATCACAAATTGGCTTCATATTTAATTAAGGGTCAGCGTGGTTCCTTCAGAATTCACGAGAATGGAGCTCTATGGTGGCCTGATTCCCTTTGGAGGACAGGTCTGGCTCCCTTCCTGTCTGGCAGCTTCACTGGCTTCTCCTTGCTTTCCAGAGCCTGTTCATTCGGGCCGTGCGGGCGTACAACGGCGAGAACTGGAGGACGTCCATCACAGACATGGAGCTGGCCCTTCCTGACTTCTTCAAGGCCTTTTATGAGTGTCTCGCAGCCTGTGAGGGCTCCAGGGAGATCAGGGACTTCAAGGACTTCTACCTTTCCGTAGCAGGTTGGTGGGGGTTGTATCCTAGGCGTCAATGGGATAGCTGCCCCTGTGGAACCTACATGCCTTCTAGGTGACTGGGGTGGCCTCTGAGAACTTCTGAGCTGAAATATGAATGGGTAACTGGAGTGGCCGACACCTACTCGATCAGCCTTTGACTCGGCGGGGGCTTCGGGAGAAATAGTGAGTATACTGTGCAAGCACCAGCCTGCAGAAGCGGTCGGCCATATCATCCCTGCCCGATTACAGGTTCTCCACAGGCTTTGGAAAAATAAACCTGGGCCCATGAGTACCTCGTGCCTCACGTTACTGGAGTAACTCTGATGGTGGACAATGTCCAGCACACATAAAAGTAGAGTGAAGAGTATAATGAGCCTCTAAGTAGTTGTCAGAAGGTAACTCTTGGAAGAAAAATGTTCTGATTATAAAACTGCATCCTCATTATGGGAAGTTTAGGAAAGTATGAAGAAAGGGAGAAAATTTTACAACACCGTCTCGACATAACCCAGATAGCCCTAGGGTTTCTTTTTAATCTTTAGTGGGCAGCATTTTCCAGAAAATAGGAAATGGCCAAGAAGAGATTTCCCAATTTGGTTTTGGGAACACATATCTTAGAACTGTACCTTGCAGAAAGGGTTCCCTGGTCAAATAAGTCTGGGAAAGGGTGAGCACAGTCTGCCTCTTGGAGAGTCACTGCGTACTTGAATGGTTAATGGCTCTTAGAAATCCTGCAGTTTGGCAGCTCTTTTAAGTTATTGAATCCAGGGTTTTGGGTTTGTTTTTTTTTATCATATTTTTTTTTTGCTCATGTACAGTATCTGTTTTTTCCACAGAGTACCTTTCCCCCCCCCCTTAACAAAACCTTTTTATTTTGGAAAATTTCAAACATATAGAAGAGTATAATGAACCCCATGTACCCATGAACTAGGTTCACAATTGTCAACTCATGGCCCTTTGAGTTTCATCTATATAATTCCTGCCTACTACCCCTCCTTTCATATTATTTTGAATCAAACCACAGATGCTGTATCACTTCATTTGTAATATTTCAGTATATACCTCTAAAAGATAAGAACTTTTTTTCCCAACATAACCACCAAACTATTACACCTGAAAGATTTTTAACATTAGTTCCTTGATCTCATCATCCAATATCCAGTGTCCCTATCATCTCAGAGATGTCATAAATACTTGTACGTGTGTATACCTTTAATTTACAATTTGTTTGTTTGAATCAGGTTCCAAATGAGGTCCATGCATTGCATTTGGTTATGTTTTTAAATTTTTGCTGTGGTACATAACATAAATGTTACTATTTTAACCATCTTTAATTATGCATCCAATGGCAGTAAGTACATTCACGTTGTTGTTCAACCTTTACCACTGTCCATCTTCAGGACTTTTTCATCTTCCCAAACGGAAACTCAGTATCCATTAAACACTAACTCCCCATCCTCCTCCCTGCAGCCCTGGTAACCACCATTCTGCTTTCTGCTTCTATGAATTTGACTACTCTAGGTACCTTATGTAAACGGAATCATACAGTATTGGTTTCTTGGGGATGGCTTATTTCACTTAGCATAAATTTATTCTACAGAGCTTCCCACAGTCTGGATTGTACTGATCGTATCCCCATAGTCCTCTGTCCTCTGTATTTCTTTTTTTTTTTTTCTTGGGGGAGGGGAACAGTGCTGGGGAATCGGGGGAAGGGGAACAGACAAGTTGCTGTCGTTTTGTTCTTCAGTCTAGTTGTGGAGGATGTTGCTTCACTGGCCCAAGTTGGCACCATCATTGCGCTCTTCCCGGGCGAGGCAGATCAGTCGCCGGCTTCTGGACGGCCGCTCACTGCGGCTGCTGGCTGCTCACGCTGGCTGCTGGCTACACACGGTAGCTTATGGCAGCCCACTGAAGCAGGGGCTGCAGCCTATGCCGTCGCAGGCGACTCACGGCAGCCCAGCTCCAGGTCGAGCTGTTGTTCACCATCTTAGCTGTAGAGGGCAGTGTTACTGGCCCCCATGTGGGATCCGAACCTGGGCCCTGCTGCACAGAGCTGGCGTCCCAAGCCAGCTCTTAACCAGCGCGCCATTCGGCCGGCCCCTCCTCTGTATTTCTTATTGGTAGTTGGATGTAGAGGCTTGATCAGACTCAAGTTTGATTTTTTTTTTTTTGGTGGGGTTTAGGGGCCAAGACCACTTCTTAGTGGGTGCTGAATTCTACCAGGAGGCACAAAATGTTTGGCTGTCTCTCTGTGATGTTGGCAGCTGCTGGTGCTCATGCCTGGACCTCACAAGGCACCTTTTAACTCTTGTTCTTCTGCTAGTGAGGGGTCGCCTCTTCCAACCTCCCTTCAAGCCTATAGTGTCAGGAGTTCTCCTTATACTCAGAGTAAAGGAACAGGTGCAAAACGGGTGATTACTTGGAGCTACGATGTTTTGACTATCGATAAGAAATAGTTATTAGAAAAGGTAACATTTATCAAACTCTAATTAGATGCCAGGCCCTGTTCTATGCCTTCTATATGTATTATCTCAATTTTGCGACCCTATGAGGAAGAAATTGACATTCTCCCCATTTTATAAATGAGAAAGCTGAGGCATAGAGAGGTTAAGTATTGTGCTTGTTGTCCTCAGGGGAAGGGCTGGGATTTGCACCCAGGCCTTCTGACTGCAGAGTCTTACCTCTTAACTTCAGTGAAATAATGTCTCACCAAGTGGGGCACATTATACCTAATCTCGAACTTTATTTATTTTTTGATAGGTAATATAGCACATCGTATAAAATGTGAAAGACATAAAGAGATATGCTGTGAAAAATAAGTCTTCTGTATCAGTCAGAGTCCAGACTGGAAGTAGATGGCACGCATACATCAGGGTAGTTCAAGAAGGATTTATTTACTGAAGTGTTGGGGGAAGGGGAACCCCAAGGGGCAATATTGTACCCCAGGGCTACTAGTAGCTGAGCCATTATCTTCTAGGCTAAGAGGAGGAAGGAGTTACAGGCAGCTAGAAGGAAGTCTTGCTTTTATCCATATCTCTTCTACCCATTCCACTCACCCCCAATGGTAACCATTTTTATTAGTTTCTGGTTTATGCTTCTAAATGTTTTTTGACAAAAATAAGCAAAGATAGCTATTTATCTTAGATATAGATAGATGATAGATAGATAGATAGATAGATAGATAGATAGATAGATAGATAGATGATAGATTTAGGGATATTTTAGTTTAGTTTTAAATAATTGCAAACCTATAGAGAAGTTACAAAAGTAGTACAAAGAACTCTCATACACTCCTATCCAAATTCACTGATTTTTAACATTAATTGTGCCACGTTTACTTTATCACTCTCTTCTTATGTGTGTGTATACAAAATTATTTTTATTTCAGGACTATATGAGAGTAGGTTGCATACATCATGACCACTTAACCCATAATACTTCAGTGTATTTCCTAAGAACAATAATTTTCTTTATCCACAGCACAGTTATTAAATTCAGGCCACGTGATATTGGTACAATGCTTTTGTCCCATCTACAGTCCACATTCCAATTTTGTCAATTGTCCTAATAATAACTCTTCTAGCAACTTTTTTCCCTGGTATAATCCAGCCCAGGGTCATGTTTCTTAATTATTGATTTCTTTACTGTTTTTTAATCTGGAATATTTCCTTGGCCTTTCTTTGTCTTTTTATGCCATTGGTATTTTTTTAAGAATCTAGGCCAGTTGCTTTAAAGAATATTCCTCAGTTTGGGGTTCGATGATGTGTCTTCACAGTTACATTCAGGCTGTGTTCGTTTGGCTGGAGCATTAGGAAGCTTCCTCAGAGTATCACATGCAGATGAGCATGGTATCTATTTGCCCCTTATTGGTGATGTTAATTTTTAAGCATTCGGTTAAGGTGCTTTTCAGTTTCCTCTTTCTCCATAATATAATAACTATTTTTCCTTTTGAGGTTAGTAAATGATTTGTGGACAGATACAACTTACTGTCCATCAAATTCTGTGTCGTCCCCACCCCTGTTCCTCTGAGTTAGCATCTATTGAGGATTCTTGCCCGAATCATTTTTTTTCTATAAAGTTGGTGTATATATAAATCTAAACAGTATATCCTAACGAGTACACAGAGATTGTCTCATTGTTTTTTTATTGCTGCGATGTACTTTCTTGAGAGGTGGGGGGAGTAGTGTACTACAGTTTTTTCAACTATTTGATGGACATTAGGGTTGTTCCAATCTTTTGCTGTTACATATAATACTGCAATGGGAAGTTTTAGGCTTTTTTTTTCTTTATGGAGATGTGTTTTCAGAGTCCAGAGTGCTAACCATTGCACCATGGAACCCTTTGGAGATGTGTTTTCAAAGTCAACTTAAGTGGGGTTGATCGCTCAAAGAGTAAATGTTTCTATAAATTATTTAGTATTTTGTTACCATTTTGTATTCCAACCAGCAATGTAAGACAGTGCCTGTTCTTCCACAGTCTTTCCAACAAAATGTGTGCCATTGTCCTGGAATCTTTTGCTTCTAGCTGCATGAAGAGAGAAAAGGGAGGGGGCCAAGTATCACGTGGGAGATTTTTGGGGACCAGGCCTGGAAGTAGCATTCATTAGTTGTTGCTATTCACATTTTATAAGCACAGTTAATCATATAGCACCAACTCCACTGCAAGGGAGGCTGGAAATGAGTCTTCAGTATCTTTCTGTGTTATTATACTTAGGTCAACCTACTCTTCTAAAGACTATGTAGATTCTGTTGTTTATATGTACCATAATTTATTGATCACCATCCTATTAGCCAGCATTTAGGTTATTTCCATTTGTTTGCTGTTACAAACAGTGTTTATATATGCCTATGTCTAAAGAAAATTTCCCAGAACTAGACTGCTGGGTCAGAGGATATGATATGGATGTTAATGTCTGATAAATTTTGCCAAAGTACTCTTTGAAAAATTTGTTTTCGTTTTGCTTCTACCAATAGAATATGAGAAAGTTTTACCATTCTCTCCCTAACACTGGGTGTTATCAAATTTCAAAAATCTTACCAAGTTGACAATTTAAATCATTTTAGGTGGGATTTAATTTCCTTTTTTTTTTTTTTAGATTTTATTGGGGAATTGAGGAAGGGGAACAGCCAAGTTTTTGTCCAGTCTTAGTTGTGGAGGTCACAGCTACCTCAGCTCCAAGTCCAGTTGCCATCCGGCCGCCTATTGGCCAAGCTGCCACTCAGTTCAAGGTGCCGTGTTCAATCTTGGTTGCGGGTGGGTGTAGCCCACCATCCCATGCGGGAGTCAAACCAGGGAACCTTGTTGTTAGGAGTACGTGCTCTCACCAGCTGAGCCATCCTGACACCTGTTGGCAGCTCAGCGGCAGCTCAGTGGCAGCTCAGCTTGGGCGCAGCTCACTGGCTCACGTGGGAATCAAACTGGCGACCCTGTTGCTCAGAGCTCGTGCTCTTAACCAACTGAGCCACTCGGCTGGCCTGGGATTTAATTTCTTAATTACAAATGAGGTTCAGCATCTTTTCACAATGTTTATTAGCCATTTTTATAATTTCTTCTCTATGAACATTCTTTTGACCATTTTTATATTGGGTGTTTTTCTTTTTTTTTTTTTCTTGTTAATTTTAAGAAACTTTGCATATTAAAGGTTTTAGTCCTTTATCTAAGTGTTGCAAATATTTTACCTTTATGATTTATCATTTTTACCTTTTTACGTTTATCATTTGGGAGGTGGGGCAGAAGTATAATAGTATTAAGAAAGTAATGAGGGCATTGCTCTGAAACTTTGTGTGTGTTCTTTCAGATCATTATGTAGAAGTTCTGGAATGCAAAATACAGTGTGAAGAGAACCTCACCCCAGTTATAGGAGGCTATCCAGTGGAGAAATTCGTGGCTACCATGTATCATTATTTGCAGTTTGCTTATTATAAGTGTAAGTAATCTACGCGATCTCGGACAAGGTACTTAATCCTTCAAAGACTCAGCTCCCCCATCTGTAGAATAGAGGTAATAACTCTTACCTATGGTTGCTGAGAGAATGCATGAAGGTTACATCATCAGCCCTGGTACCAAGCTTTGCCAAACCCTAGAGTCCGATTGCCTGGGTTCGAATTCCAGCTTTGTCACTTAGTAAATTCTCTGTGTCTCAGTTTCCTCATCTGTAGAGTAGACATAATAGCACTAACCTCATGAGATTGTCGTGAAAATTAAATGAGTTGATAGACAGGGAATGCTGAGGATATTCACACACTGGCACATAGCAAACTCTGTATAAATGTTTGTTCCTTTTGTCATTATTTCCCTTCCTCCCCATCATCGGCCTCACTTTTCCGACTGTTGGAATTTCATTCCAGCTGGTCCTGCCTTGGCCTGAAATTGGAGTTTATCACTCAGAACATTCCAAGTGGACAAAGGGAAATAAATGTGAGAGGGAAAGTAGTTCCGAGTTCAGACTTCAGAGCCTGTCTTTTTTTGGCTTTTCCTCTTCTCCCTGTGACTGACTGCCGAGGAACACTTGTTGGAGCAGCGTGTACATTGGCAGTTAAGTGACAAGCACAGGAGGCTTATTAGGGACAGTTGCAGCAGGAACTGTTTTGCCCTGCTGGTGAAATGCCTGGGTCTGGTGGCAGGAATCTGGCTCGATTCCCCTAGCGGCGCTTTTTGGGGATTCAGGGATGTCCGGAGAAGAGTGACAGGTGGCCTCGGTTTTCATAGCCCTCCTGCCCTACTGTGGCCATTTTGTTCTTTGTTGGGTTCTGTCTTCCTGGAATAGCCATCTACCTTTTTATCCTGTTTCCTATCTTCTTCAGGACACACTGAACGATTTGCCTGCTGAAGGTTGAGAAAACGTAAAACATTTTTCCATACATATATTTTAAAAAAATTTTAGTTTTTGCTTCTAATCAAAATTGTTCCTCCGAAGCAGCCATTTCCACCAGGCCTTCCTGAGTAAGGTAACTTGCCTTTCTCAGCGGGGAACCTGATATTACCGCAGCCTGAACCTCATCTAAGGAGGCAATGAAACGTGATCCTTAGTTGGGACATTTCTGGGATCAACAGGAGAATGAGGAGTGTTTTGAACAGGTGTCCTTCCCTGAAGTCCCCTTTCGAGGATGGCAGGGATGAGGTTTTATTTGTCACGGTAACTGTGGCACCAGCTGTTTGGTAGAAGATCATGTAGCATAGAGGACAAGAGTCATGTTCTTTGTAATCTATGCACATGCTTTCACCTGAGACAGCACTGAGCTCACAGTAGGTCCACAGTAAATACTTATTAACTGCATTCCAGTGTTGAGGGAATAGTTTTCTACTTAGGCAGCTTGGGAAGAGCCCTTAGTTTTTGCTTGGGAAGAGCCCTCTTTTTTCAATATAAGTGATTGATTAGTGCTTTCTTTCAAAAAAGTTTTGTAATACAGGCTTGTTGCAGCAAAGCAAACATCTGGGACATGTGCAGAGAGACATCGAAGCAAACCACCCCTTCCCATCTCCACCACCTCACTGTCCTCCACTCTCCAGTGTTAACTGTTTGCCTTTATTCATCCACATTTGGAAGAACCCTGTGTTAATGAGAATGATGAAAAAACTGTGTACATGTTTTTTAAAAAAAACTTATGGATATTTAAAAACCTACATTAAAGTAGAGGAGGTGGTATAATGAACTGTTGTCTGCCCACCACCCAGCTTCAACTTTTATTAACACTTTGCCAATCTTGGGTTCACAGTTTAAAGACTTTCAGTCAGATAAAATCATAAGCTAGTATTTTTATTTCAGTTTCATGAAAATCTGCCCTGGCACTTCCCTGAGCTAGCCCTGTGCTGGACTTTGAAACATGGGGAAGACTCTGTTAGGTCTTCCAGCCTCTGAGCAGGGCATCGTTGTGTGCGCACAGAGCCAGAACCCTGGGAGTTCAGAAGTGTTCCAGACACATCCAGGCTCTGGCAGCTCACTGGTCCTCTGAAATCCTCACATGCTCTGAAAATCGCCCTGCATATCAGAAACTGTGGCAAAAGCTTAGAAACACAGGTAAACCAAAACTTCGAGCTTTGCTTGCCCCTCCCCAGGAAACCTTTGCTTTCTGGGATTATAGGTATTCCATAGGAGTAAAATTTACTTCCCGAAATTGGCTTCCTGAAAGTCTGCCCTGATTTGAACTCTTTCTAGATTACCTACTGCACTGAATTTTCTAGAGGGCAGGCGTTGTTCTTTACATTTGAACCCTTTCCCAGCCCCGCAGGCCTTGGCAAATACTAAGTGTCCTTGAACTCCGGTTTTAAAGTTGTCATTACCAGAAACAGCCACTGGGTGGCACGATTTATTCATATCTGCTCTGGTTATTCTGGCCAACCAGAACTTTAGCAAAGGTAGTGTTCCTGGTTGTAAATTGGAGTGGAATGTGCCAGAATACCCAAGGGCTTGTGCCTTGTCACGTCTTCTTTCTTGTCCCCCACCCCTAAGACAAATCCCAATCCCTGCAAAACCCCTATGCTGAAGGTGCTGTTATGGGTGGGGCAACTCTACGGAGGGAGACTGAGGTGGGAATCTCACAACCAGGAGATGACAAGACCAGGTGACTTTTCAAGCCTCTTCCAGCCCAGAGAGTCCACCATCCTTTTGAGTTTTCTATTTAGTTTAGCAACAGGAGGGCCCACCTGGATCTGGGGATTGTGGTGTCATCCAAATGGGACCCAGGCACTTTGGGACCCAAACTGGGGGCTCATTTGCTGAGCACACCCTCCCCAGCTCCCTCAGCCGCATGACAGTGTAGGCCTTGGGACCCAGCCTTCTCGGGCCCCAGGGACGTGAGACCAGCTTCGTTCACAGGAGCCTAAGGTAGAATATATGATAGTAGGCATTTCTGCAAAGGCATCTGCCTAACAAGGAAATTCCATGTGTCGGAACTCGAGGTTGCCGTGGAGACCCAGTCTGTGACCTGCTCACCCAGGGATGATGATTCCGGTCTGTGGTCTGTCTGTGGTCTGTCTGTCGCAGGCTTTCCGAAGGAGGGGCTGTGGAGAAGGGGCTTGTTCACGAGCTTTTCCTTTAGGGAGCTGTGCTTCAAGGAGGGGTGGCTGGTGAGGGGACGTGCAGGGCGCGGTTTGCTGATTTCCTGTTCCTCTTTTTCTCCCTGACCCCAGTGAGTGACCTGAAGAATGCGGCCCCCTGTGCGGTCAGCTACCTGCTCTTTGACCACAACGACAAGGTCATGCAGCAGAACCTGGTGTACTACCAGTACCACAGGGACAAGTGGGGCCTGTCTGATGAGCATTTCCAGCCCAGACCAGTAAGTGCTGGTGCCCCAGGCACGGGCAGTTCCCTTCCTCTTCTTCATCCTCACGTTTTGGAGACTGCTTTGGTTATTTCAGAAATCAAAGCAAATTCATTTTTCCTGTAGTTTTTTGGTCTGTTAATATTTTACGGCTTTATTCTGATTTTTAAATCAGTAAAAAGCCGACACATTTCAAATGTTCCAGAAGTGTTTTACTTAAAAAGTGAAAATCCCTCATAATCCCACACCTTTTCTTTACCCCTTGTCTTGTTGCTATGCATTTAGTCATAGATACAGCGTGTATTTGTTTATTTTTACAGAAACAGGATCATACTGTATATACTGTCTTGCAGCTTGCTTTGTCTTTATAACAGTTCGTCTGAACACATTCCATGTCACACCATCTACCTACTTTATTATGATTTTAACAGCTCTGTGGTTGGTTCATTTGTGGGTGGACCATCATTTCATTTCCAGGATGGACAGACTCAGCTTTGTATGTACTGTCAGGGAACTTTCGAAACTTACCTATTGCTTTCAAAAGATCTTTTCTGAATGATCTTTGTTTTTAACTGGTATTTTCATTGGGATTCCTGAATGCTGTTCCTGGCTTGCCATCCATGCACCTTCCTTCACACCTCACTCCACTGCATATTCTCTCTCTCTCTCTCTCTCTCTCTCACACACACACACACACACACACACACACACACACACACACACATTTCCTGGGGATCGATCACTTTTTAAAAATTGAGATATAATTCAAATACAATAAAATTCACACTTTTAAAGTACACAATTTGTGGTTTTAGTATAGTCACAGAGTTGTGCAACCATTACCACTATCTAATTTTAAATATTTTCATCACCCCGCCCCTCCTGCCCCCCCAAGAAATCCCATGCCCTGTTCCTCCCTCCTCCCAGTTCTAACATTAAAAGGTTGGTCATATAAACTGTTCTCTGTGTCTGAACAGGAAGCAGTTCAGTTCTTTAATGTGACTACACTCCAGAAAGAGCTGTATGCCTTCGCTAAGGAAAATATAATGGATGATGATGAGGTAAGTTCTCATGGTTAGCACACTTTTGGCGAAGAGAAAATATTACTCATTTCTTTGCTAAAATCATGGGAAGGCAACTCATCCTTGAAATAAGAAACAGAAGGGGACCTTGAGAAATGCAATTTCTGTGGGCGTTTTAATGAAAGTCAGAGCCCTGGCATGAGCAAGAACGGCTTTCTAGGAACCCAGGCTGAAGTGCCACACTTCCTTCTGATGCTCTAGAAATCCATCACAAGAGCCATCCAACCATCATTTTTTTTAAAAAAAACATTATTTTATAAAACCACAGTGAATTTTCAGTGACTCAGCACTATGAAGACATTTGGAAACCCCATCCCAATTTTTCTGAGATTATCTTTTATTTTCATTTTTTATTAATTAGGTCTCTGCTATAAGTCGTTCTATCATTCTCCGACATTCCTTAGAATTCCTGACTCTCACTCAGCTGACTCTTGTTTTGCTCATGGAGCAGTTATTTTGTGATGGTGCAGCCTAGTCACAGAAAAGCCATCTTCAGGGGTAGCTTTTAGAGAGATGCATTTGAAACCAACCGGAAAATGCTTGCTAAGACAGCTGAGAACTTGCCAGCCATGGGAGCTGGAAGAGAGCTGTGAACTTGTTCTGCTCTGACTCCTCACTTTATAGGTGAGGAGCTTGGGGGACAGGAAGTTCTGGGAGTCACTAGGCCAGACCCCGGGGTCCTGAGCCTCCATGTTTGCTCTCTCCACGGCCCGAGTGTTTGGTGAAACACTGCTAAACAAGACATCATCAAGGAATTTGTTTTCTGTGCATGAATTTGCAGGGGGACAGATCCATCACTAGCATTCATTCAACATCCCTGAGCCTCAGTCCTTTGTCTAGAACATGGGACTAATAATGTTGACCTCACAGAGTTGGGAGAATGAAGTACTGTGTTGCCCATGGAAGTGTGTTAGAAACAAGGAAGTGATACCCGTGCCATGTGTCTTAGGTTGGGTTCCCTTGAAGCAGAGCCTGAGGTAAGATCACAAGGATGCTGCCAAGGAAGGAATGCTGGCTAGATACAAACAAAGTGGGCTGGTGTGGTTTGGGAGGTGGAGAAAAATATATTTACAAAAAGGGGGAGGAGTTGAGTTTCTAATTATCCAGAGGCAAGCTACTATCAATATTTTGGTATATGTGCTTGCAGGTTTTTCTACATACTTTCCAATATATATATTCATTATAAGCTCAACTGTAATTATAGATCATAGCTTTTCCGGTTAACATTGTAATATGAGCAGTTTCCCTTGTTATGTTTTTCTAGAACAGCTTTATTGAAATATTATTCACAAACCATAAAATTCTCCTTTTTAAAGTATACGATTCAGTGGGTTTTAGTATATTCACAAAGTTGTACATCCATCGCTTCTATCTGATTTTGGAGCATTTCCATCATCCCCAAAAGAAACCCCATAACTCTTAGTAGTCACTTCTCATTCCTTCCCCTCTGCTCACCGCTGCCTCACCTTTGCCACAAGCCCTTGGCAACCATTAATCTACTTTCTGTCTCTATGGATTTGCCTGTAGTGGACATTTCATGTAAATGGAATCATATAGAATGTGGTCTTTTGTGACTGGCTTCTTTCACTGAGAATGTGTTCAAGTTTCCACCATGTTGTCACATGTATCATGTTACGTGTAAAAATTCTTTTTTATTGCTGAATAATATTCCACTGTGTGGATATATACCACATTTTGTTTATTTCTCCGCTGATGAACATTTGGGTTGTTACCAACTTGTGGCTATTTTGAATAATGATGCTATGAACATTTGTGTACAAATTTACTCCTATGTTTTTGTCCATGATTTTTATAGTTTTAACACTTACATTTAGAAATACAATATATTTAGAGTTCATGTTACATACGATGTAAGGTAGGGGTCTAATTTCACTGTTTTTCATGCAGATATATACAATTGTCCCAGCACCATTTGTTGAAAAGACTTTCTTTCCCCATTGAATTGTGTTGGCACTGTTGTAGGAAATCAATTGATCACAAATGTGAGGTTTTATTTCTAGACTCTCAATTCTAGAAATACAATTGATTTTTAGATATTGATATTGTAATCCTATAAATTTTTGAACTTATCCATTAGTTCTAATAGTTTTCTTGTGGATTCCTTAAGAGTTTTTACATAGAAGATCATGTTATCTATGAATCGAGGTAGTTTTACTTTTCCTTTTCCAATCTGGATGTCTTTTACTTATTTATTGGCTAATTGCCCTGGCTGAAACCTCCAGTACAATGTCAAATAGAACTGGAGAGACTGGACATCCTTATCTTGTTCCCAACCTTAGGAGGAATGCATTCTTTTTTAGCGTTAAGTATGTCGTTTAGCTGTTGGTTTTTGTAGGTGCCCTTTGTCAGGTTGAGGAAGTTCCCCTTATATTCCTAGTTTGTTGGGTATTTTTATTATGAAGATTCATTAAAGCTCTCTCATGTCACAGATGAGGAAACAAATTCAGAAAGGTAGAGTGATTTACTCAAAGTCACACAGCTGGTTAGTAATCACCCATTGAACAGACCAGGCTTATTCCAGGCTTGAAAATTCCTAGAATTTAGACTTGATAGTCTCAAGATAAAAAGACTCTGTTGAGGGTCCTGGAAGTATTATAATTAGCATATTAATCAAGGCTTTAGAATTGTGATAGCATTCATCCTTCTCTAAAGAACAAGATGTTTTCTTCCTATATGAAATTATGGCATGTAATAATTTGAAATCAAATATAACCAATACAATACAATTCTTAGTTTAATCTTTAAAATCTCCAAAGGACAAAATACTAGTTTGAAACAAAGCATCAATACAATGTAGCTACTGATATTCGTGGTGTTTTTTATTATCTTTCTGGGGTTGAAATGTGTGCAAGACCTCCCGAAAGTTGGCACACTGGTTAAACATTTTGCAGAGGCCCATTATAGTTTCAGGAACTATAAAGCAGCTGAAATCCATGCTTCAAGTCTCAGGTTCTGGTAGTTCTGTGCTTCAGGGAAGTCTAAAAGACATAGATTATAATTTGCTGGAGTGATTTGCTGAGGGAGTGCTCTCAGGTAGGAAAGGAAGTGAATGGAAGGGAAGGAGCTATGCAGATATGTTTTCTCAGCTGGAGTCAAGCTTAGCCTGATTCCAGGGGTGCCCTGGAACATGAGTTATACCATTATAGCTCTTCCTGCTTTTGTAGTCTCCCTTATCAGCCTCTCGTTGGTTGTTGTCAGCCCAGAGGTGTCGGTGTGTACACTGCCTGGCAGATCATTTGTTCAGCCATTAGCAACCAACACTCCCAGCAGCTGGGAGATGGATACACCGGAAGTAGATCTGAGTGAGGCACCAATAGCCTTCACTACAACAGGCCATACGGGGGGATGCATTTCTTTCATTGATGAGCTAAATGCAAACAAGACCATCATTCCCATGTCACAGAAGCCACAGGGCAGGAAACGGTAACTCTGGGAACAGATGTCATGGTCATACATGTAATCCCTCTCGCAGACCATGTTTTCCTTTGGGAGTCCAGAAAGCAACAGAAGAACATTGTTTTTCAAGCAGTAGTCTTTCACATCCAGAGCTTTAGTTTCTAATCTCAGGCATGACATGATCGAGGTATTTGATGAAAATAGTAAGACACCCTTTTGAGTCTCATGTACTTGATAGATGTTTCGACTGTTCTCAAATGCTGAGACATTTTATGAATCTTGCTGCGTTAAAATATCAAAAGGAGCCAATAGGCTCTTGGGCTGAGGTGGTGGGTGACCTCTGTGAAGGAGGCCAAGTTTTAGCAGGAGGTGGTCAGCATTGGTGGTGCTGACCCTCGCGGGAAGGGGGCTTGGCCTCCTTGGATTCATTCATTTTCTGCCGTAAAGAGAAGGTGTCTTCTGCTGGTGGCCCAGGTGTCTCATGGGAGAGAAATCAATGCAGAGAAGGAAATCAGAAAGTGTGCTGGGCTGTTTCAGGTTGAGGCTTAAGGCTGATTGCAGAAGGAGGGAGCTGGTGGGCTCCCGGTACCACCAGTGGGCAAGTGGGTCCCACTGTACCCAAGAGTCTGTCCTTTAAGTAGGATGATTGCTTCAGTCACACCAGCAATGTGCATGTATACACTCACTCATTCATCCCTTAGCAGGTTTACTGAACACCTTCTATGTGACAGACTCTGAGCAAGAAAAAGAACCCAGGTCCTGGTCCTTGAAAAGCTTGTGGACTGGTGATCAAGGCAGAAAGGGAACAGATAGAAAGTGTTCCTGTGGGATAACTAATAGGAAGTGTAGGGGTGTGGGGAGGGGAGCACAGAAGAGGGGGCCGTACACAGGGTCTTAAAGAGAGTGGTTGGACTGCCTACTTCACACAGGCGTTCTGTGGGGGCTGCAGAGCGCTTCACTCCACGTTCACATGGAGTGGATTCCAGGGTCCTCCCGCATCTCTTACCCCCCCCCCGCCGGGAGAAGTCAGGTCCCCAAGGGCAGGGGAGAAAGAGAAAGGTTGCTCCAGCCTAAGCAGGCAGCTGGCAATGGCCTCTTGGAAACAGTCTCTGCTCACCAACACTTTTAAAGTCAGGCAGGCCACTTAACAGAGGTGTCCTGTTGTCTCTTACAGGGCGAGGTCCTGGAATACGTGGATGACCTCCTGGAGCTGGAGGAGACCGGCTAGTCCATAGCTGCCCAAGAGACTTCCCCTCGATGTTCAGGAAACACAGATTGTCCTTTTCCCAGTGACCCAAGTGGTTGATACCTCAAAGCCTTCTCTTTACTGTATGAAGTGAAAGGGAAGCCCCTGTCTCTCACTATGTATAACAAGGGGTGAGCCTGCCTTCCCCGTGACCACACCTGCCCCCACTTCTTCACACCTGTCTTCCCACTTTCACACCTGTCTCCCCATGTTCACACCTACCTCCCCATGTTCACACCTGCCTTCTCCACATTCATACCTGCCTTTCTCACCATTTTGGTTGGAAGGACTGTCTTCCATGGGTCCCCCGGCACCCTGAAAATCAGTATTATTTTTTAAATAAGAAAACTACTCCTAAAAGATAATTGTGAAAAGCTACTTTGGCCTTTCTGCTCTTCCAGTTTTTAGTCTTTTTTTTTTTTATCCCCATGCCCTGATCCAGGAAAGATGGTGCAAGACAAAGGCTAAACTCCACACCCCATGATGCTCTACACGTGGTCTGACCTGCACTTTAGGCACCCACTGAAAAAGAAGTTGGGTAACAGAAGTAGCTCTGCCCAACACTTCTGCATCTCCTAAGTCTCATAATGGTTGGTCAATTCCATTTGAAGACACTACTCAGTTACCAGTCTCAGATTTGGAAATGGAAGAAAGCAGAGGCGTCAAGCTTCAACCTTTCAATAAATATTTATTGAGCACCTACCACATGCTTGGCATTGGCCTGGCACTGGAGATACCATACAGGATAACAGAAAAAAAAAAACCTCTGCCCTCATGGAGCTTACATTCTATGACGAGAGACAGACAAGACATAAGCAAGAATCAGTATATGCAAGGCATCAAGGGTGACAATTGCAATGGAGAAAAATAAAGCAGGGAAGAGAGTAAGGAAGCCTGTTTTAAATAGGGTGGTCAGGGAAGGCCTCACCAGGAAGGTGACAGAACCCTTAGGGAAGCAGTTCTCACAGGAAAGCATTCCAGGCAGAGGCAACAGCACGGGCAATGCTTTTCAGTGAGAATGCGCTTGCTGTAGTTGGGGAACAAGAAGGCCAAGTTGGGGAGTGGGTGGGGGGAAGAATGAAGATGTGGCTCAAGAAGTAGAAGTATAGGGAGTGGGCGAGAGAAGCCGTGTAACCCTGGCTTCTCTGAGTGAGATGGGAGCCCCTGGAAGTCTTGAGCAGAGGAGTGCCTTGACTTACACATTATAAGGATCACTCTAGCTATCATCTTGTGAAAAACCTGAAAGCGAGCAAGGGTGGAAGCAGGGATACCAGTTAAGAGGCTAGTGCAAAATTCCAGGCAAGGAGAATGCTGGCTTGGACCTGCGTGGTGGCAATGGAAATGGTGAGAAGTGGTCAGAGTGTGGATTTGTTTTGAAAGCAGGGCCAGTAGGATTTGCTGGCAGACTGGGCATGGAGTGCAACAGAAAGAGTGGGTCTAATGGTGACCATGAGGTTTTTGGCCTGAATAACAGGAAGGATGGAGTTACCATTTACTGAAATGGGGAAGATGGGGGGAGGGGTAAGTAAGGAATTTGGTGCAAAGCAGGCTGTCTGAGGTTGGGAGGAAAGGTTCAGGCTGCAAATAAAATTTTAAGGTTTTCTCGGGTCAAGTCTTCAGCAGAGCTGGAGACGGGTCCAAATGCATGTGGTTAACTGTGGGGTTACATTCAGGAGAAACCTGTGAAAGCCTCCATCAGTTAGTAATAGACTGTATCTCCGGGAGCAGGGCTGTGCCTTTGAAGGCAAGTGGCTTGGTCAGCTGAGGGCAGTCCTCTGGAGAAGGGACTGTGGACCACTGGCAGCCAACAGGCAGGCACAGAGATGGTGAGGGGTGGCTCTGTGAAGGGAACCTGGGAGGAGCGCCACGGAGCCCGCTACTGAACCATCTGCGTGGCAATGGCATTTAAAGCCATGAGGCTGCATGGAGTCACCAAGATTGTACGTATATATTGAGAAGCAAGAGAAAGGGGCCAGCGACAGAACCCCCCGGGGCCCTCTGGGCAATAAGAAACCCACCAAAGAAGCTGAAAAGGAGCCACCGTGGAGGTTGGAGAAAACCAGGAGGGTGTGGTCTGGGATCTGAGCTTTCTTTATTCAACCCTAGTCCCTCTTCCAATAAGCCACTTCATCAGATTGGGGTGCTCCAGGGATGGGGGCAGGAGACTGGCACAGCATTTGGGAGACAGGACTCTACCCACAATGGCATGGAAAGGTACAAAAGAAGATAGAATTTGGGGGTCTTTAGTGTAATGGTGATTAACTCGGGGTGGAAAATTCACCTATTTTTGCTTTTCCAGGCTTCCTTTCCCCCCATCTCACTACTCCAACCTCTGGGAACTCAGATGTATGCTATTTCTCCTTTTGTACTCTTCTGTTTCCTTAATCCCCTTTCTCCTGAGAGCACTTCCTCTTTTACCTGCACAAAATCCTCATGTCAAGACCTCCTTCTAGAGTACCCAACTTGACACAGTAACCTACTACCCTGGCTTTGGCTGAATTGGCTTAAGTCAGCAGAGTCTGCACTCCCAGGGGCCTGTGTGGCCAAAGGAGTCAGTGTTATCAGCATTTATTGATGGCTGCACTTGTGTCCACAGCAGCCTTCCAATCAGGGCACCCTCCAGCCCAGCAATGACTCAGGTCCTATATGGCTTCTGCCCCTGGGTTCTACTTTCTTCTCTTGCTCCCTTCACCACCACCGCCCCCCCCCACACACACACCAGATAAACTTCCTTTTGAAGTTAGTGAGAAAGAGGGTCATAGGGCAGGGCTATAAAGTAGAGGGGGACACGGTGAGTGGACCTCCTGCCCTAGGATTCCTGAATCAGTGGAGGTGCACCCAGCATTATAGCTTCTGGCTGCAGTTGCCCTTTCCAGCTGTGTGAGAAAATGCCAGGAGACCACCGCAGGGACCAGGCTGGGCTGGTGGTCTGACTCTCCACCTCTGTGCCCTGCAGAGCATCCATTTGGTCCTCTGCCTCTGAGCCTGGGCTGAGTTTTTTGTGGAGAGTCCTCATTCATTCTCTGAACTTGACCTCTTTTCCGTGGGGATTGAAAAGTACCTCCACCCCCATCCTAGCAATGTCCCCTGAGGAAGAAACTCTGGGGACGGTATGATCAAATTGTCAGCACTTTGCTTTGACTGAAGGCTGTAGAACAGAGTTAATAATCTTTTTATTTCAAAGGAAAACAAACCAGTCGTAAAAAAAAAAATAGTGAGCCTATTCCTCCAAACCAACCATGAAACCTCAGTGTTCAGGCTGCATTCAACAACCTCAACCCAGCACCTCCCTGAGTGGGTTTTTTGGAAGAATCTAGAAGATTCCTGGATTAAGACCTCATGGGTCCAGCATCAGTCTGGTCTGTGTTTTGAAAAAACAAACACGTTTGTAAGATTTGTGGTTGTTTCCAGACCGGCCGAAGATGCCTCACTGGCCCTCTGACCTGCCTGCTTAGAGCCCAACAGTTGCTCTGTTGGTTTCCTCAGGCTTGTTCACCCATCAAGGCTGCTCACCATGGGGGCGGGGAGATTTGTCAGCCCCATTGCCACTCAGGTAACCCAGACAGGGGTACCCACTGGCTAAGGTCTAACGGCTACCTGCTATGTCTCCTTTTAACATTTAGACTTTAACAGTGAATGGCTGAGGGCTGGTTTGTGTGTACGAATAGGTTTAAAAGTGATTAATTGTCTGAAATGTCTCAGATACCAACACAGTCAACATACTCATATCTTTCTGAGTCTTGGGACTTTCTAATTACTGCCACAAACCTGTTGTCCTCATCTCTGGGATCCAGGAAAACCACTGGGTACGTCGACCACAAAGGCCGCTTTAGGAAATGTGGCTTTTAGGAGTTCTTACTAAGGGCATTTTCTGAGTACAAAAATTTTACTGAACCAAACTCAGTGTCAAACAGAAAATGATTTGTTAGATTGTCAATGGGAAAGGGTTTATTATGACTGCTGGTGGAATAAACAGTGGCCGGTTTCTGCCAACATTTATGGAAATAACGTTTTTAAGTTTTAAATGTGAGCTGTAAGCCTAAGCTACTTCAGTTTAAAAAAAAATAAAAAACTCAATACTTAAACTGTGGGGAGAAGGTGGATTGGTGCCAGAGAAAACATTCTCATTTAATAGTGTTTGCACATGGAACTACAACACAGTTTGTAGTGAGGCACTGAGAAAAACCCACAACTAATCCTTCATCGCAGCTGTCTGAGCTCTTGATCATCTGCCATCCCCCAAACAGCGACTTCTTTTTTCTGGTGACTCCAGGCTTGAATGACTTAGTGTGGCGAGTTTAAACTATATACAAGGGAAGAGTGGGGAAAGGGAAAGGAACCTTAAATAAGCCTCAGTCAAAGGTTTTGTGCATTGGACTTCCTGTGCCTGCAGCCGGGGCAAGGCTGTTCCCCACCCCATCCCTGTGGCATCTCCCTGAGAAGGAAGACACCATGACAGCCCAGCTTCGCCGTGACTGACCCTCTCCTACCCCAGAAATAAGAGTCAGGAGTAGCTGTGGTTTGTGCCATAGGAGAATGCTTCTCTCTCCAGGGCAGGTATGTGAGTGGCCATGCCCTGGTACCTAACACTTCCCCCCACCACATATCTGGCTTTCGTGGCTTGTTGAATGAATGAGTACATTGGCTCACTGCCTTCTTGGAGCTGATAGGGTAAGATACTGGTGCCTCATTGTACAAGAAAACAATAGGAAGGAATTAAACAATTTTGCCAACAGATGCAAGATTGATCCCAGAGTTTTATCGCCCATATTTGGGCGATGGTCAGTAGGTCAAACTATAAATGTTGTTGCTGATGTCTTTTCCAACTCCCCTCCTTAGGTTAAGGCAGTGTGTACAATCTCACGTTGGTGGAAATTAGAACTTGGAAAATCATTGAAAAAGATTTTTCCAAAAAAAAAAAAAGCACATTAAATGTTTTATTTTGCTTATTTACTGTTTTCTTTTTTTGTCCACTAGATGAGACTGTCTTAACCACACCCAGTTATTCTAGAACACATGTTCTAATGAGGGCTGTTTTCTCAGGTCCATGAGACTTCTGACATTCATATAGGAAAGCAGAACCCTTACCCCAAGGATTCAGATCTCACACAGCAGGGGTGGTCCTTGCTAGTCATGACCAGGCCTGGGCCTGTCAGGAGATAGAGGCTCCGTCCTCTTCCCAAGAGGGTTCTCTGTCAGAGATCAGGAATCCCATTAGGAAAAACATTTGGGATCCAGGGCTTGTTTTGGAACTGATGACTTGGTCCCTGGCTGCCAATGTCTGAGAAGTGACAGGATATTTACTGTTTCCAACAAGGACCAAAAACATCTTCAGGCCTGACTGCCAACAGACGCCAGGCTCCATGCATATCACTAAAAAGCAGGCAAGGAGAAAGGGGAAAGAGTGAGGAAGCAGCCAGTGCAAAAACAGAGACCCACGGTAGGGAGAGTTGGAACATCAGCTGTTTGAAGAAGAGGTGGAGGACACAGATTATGTTGATGCCAGCCCAAGAATTGTAGAGGACACAGTGGAAAAGTTTGGATTGAGGAGGAGTGGTGATGTAGGGAATAAGAGTTTGCACATTGATTGATGTCTTAAGTCTGGATCCCTTGAAGCAAAGCCTTGTGCAAGTGATGAGTGATCCCCGGTTGGGTGAGGAGGAGGGAGAGAGGGAGGAGGGGGCAGCAGCTCTGTAGACGTCCCTGAAATCCTGCTGCAGCGGTAACATGGCTGGCTGAGAGTTAAGCTAGGAGGGGGCAGTCTTAGACATAGCAAGTATCGAGACATTATTTTCAAGATTACTAGACAATCTTTTTTTTTTTAAAAGCCACTGGGATGTAACCTAGATAGAAAATACATTAAGCAACTATTTGAGGGAGATAATTATTTATTTTAAATATCTCAGAAGCTTTGTGTCCATGGACCCCCCACCACCCAATTTTCATAAGCATTAAAAACATTTACTAGTCTCAAAACATGCATAATGGCATACAATTTAAGTTTACAGTGTTTTAATCATTCCCTTTCTACATCATTTTTAGATCCTATAACATTAATTTAGATAACATCAAATGAATGAAAACTTAAAAAACTTATGTGTTGGATTTATTTTGCAGTTCATGTCTACAAAATAATGCATTTACATGTATTAATATATTTGTAATAAACTTATTAATAGATTTGTATTAATAGTACCTATTTGGGGGTTGGTATTAAGTCAGTGTCCTTGGGTTATTACATAACAGTTGGATAACATGATCCCAATGTTGAGACGGAAGTTATTTCATATAGTCAAAAATAGAAAAGTTATCTTGTAAGATTAGAAAAGAATCTAATTTATAAATATATACAGTCTCTGGCTTTTATTCTCTTGTGTTTTGCTTTGGCTACATGCTGAAAGCATTTCATCCCTATTGTTCTAGATTTCATCTGATGCATAGGTGTTTTCCATTTGGTACCTTCGGGCCTCCATTTTACCCAATGATGGGGACTAAACTCTTTCATTTTGCTGTACTGTCTTTACAGCTACTTAGACTATTATTTTTCCAAAGCTCTCACCAAAAACAGGTGGGGTAGAAAATAAGTTGTGAAAATTCTTTTTTTCCGTAGGTAAAGCACCACCACCAATTTTCCACTTGTAAAGAAGATTAGGCTCTTGCTCATGACACACAAAAACACTTAAGACTCGTACAGTCTCAAAATAAATGTATTGCCTTCATCGCTTTTTACCACTGAAAATGATTTCTAAAAAGATGATTCATATCGGAAAACTATGTTTTGTTTCTGTGCCAACACATAGAAGACCTTTGGAGATGGTATTTCGGCAGCTTCAAAAGCTGTCTCAATTGCACACTGATTTCCTTGCAAGACAAACCACAGGTATTACCCACCTCCTGGGCCTCAAGAGTTTCAGCAGGCCTCCAAGCTCAAAACTCATGGGGCAGAGCTGCTGAGGAAGCCCAGGGGGAAGCACCAACTGCTGGGGGGAGACTGTAAGGCTCAAGATGGAAAATCATAAATGCAATGATAACTGTCAGGGAAAACCAAATTTTTGATATTATAACCAGAAAAATTAACCAACTTCCAGAAGCAGAAAGGGATGTACTTGAACAGGGATCAACATATATTGGACTGAGACTGAATGCTGTTCTCTGTGGCCTAATAGCAAACAGCCTTTTTCGGCATGACTTAAATGTGTAAGGCTTGTACAGTTGCAGGCTTACCAATGTCAATGATCCCATTTTTGACAGAGAATGCATCTTGCAGAGGTTTTTGTCCGTTTACCATTGAATACAGGTATGCCTCAGCCCCACCACCAGAGAAAGGAAACCACCTAACCTACTGGATTGGAATTTCTAAGTCTGTTTTTAGAAAGATGTTATTTCCCATTTTGGTCCAGACAGGGTTTGCAACATACCTTGGTTCTAGACAACATAAACAACTGCCCACAGCTCTTCTGGTGCCTGAACCTGGCCTAGGAATTCAGTGATTGTTAAGCAAATGTGTATATAAAAATAAAACTGTAAAAATAAAAAATAACTTATGTTATCATAAACCAATGGTTCTCACACTTGAGTGTGCATTAGGACCACCTGGAGGGCTAACCCTCCCCCCCCCCCAGGGTTTCTGCTTTGTTTGTCTGGGGTGACACAGAGAATTTGCTGCTCCAGCAAGTTCCCAGGGAAGGCTGATGCCTCTGGTCTGAGGACCACGCTTTGAGAACCACTGTCGTAAACATTACTTGCTGAGCCACCATCAGATGGTCTAGATTGTATGACATGGGTTGCTTGACAAGCATGTGAGTCCATCCTGGACTCATGCTGTTTCCTCAGAGCTTACAGCTGCCACAAGATCAGCACAGATCAGATCATATTCCTTTTTTTGTTCCTGTGCTTCACCATCAACTAGGTACCCACACCTGACATCCCAGTCCTTGACCCTCTTAAAAGATCGTTTTCCTCCCATGTCATTCCCTCTTACTGGACCTTAGAGAAACGGTGAATCCTGGGAGAGGAAACCAAGGACAGTTCTGTGGGTCCTGGCAAAAAGTGTAAGACATTCCTAGGCACAGACTGGTCAAGGGCAGCGAGGCCATGCTTCCAAGAGGAAATGGTGCTTACCGGTACAAAGTGAGCCTTGTTTTTTTAAAAAAATGATGGGCTGTCCCGCAGAACGGAGGGAACAGAAGTAGATGTGTGGCTGGCTACTACTCCTCACCTTTCCCCACCCCCAAGAAAATGTCAGTCTTAAATCCTCTCCAATTTCAACAGTTGAAAAGAAATCTCAAAGCTTTTAGGCTATGTCCTGGTTCTCAGCTCATTTGCCCTCTGCAACATCACCACATTAAAAGGAAATAACCCATTATTTTTCTATATCCCACTCCCAGCAATTAAATATCTATATCCTAAAAACACTGCTCTCAAATGCTCCGTTTATCATCCCTATTTCAAAAATTTCAGGTCACGGAATCAGTCATTTTATTTCTTAAAAAAGAAAAAGAAGACAATAGTACGATGAAGCAAGAGATGACCTCATGGTGGCGTTAGGGCCCATGCACAGGTCTGGGATTAGTGCAATTCATTCCGGGGTAGATGGTGCAGGAGATACTGACGTGTGTGATGATACCACCAAAGCCTCCTGCCAGGTGCTTCCAGAGATATTTCTCAGCCTATAAAACAAAGACCTGAGAAGAAGAAGATGAGCCCTAGTCCACATGTTTCATGTTCTAGTGAATTGTCAGTGTTTATCAACGTGACGTGTCACAGTTTATTTTCCTCCCAAGTGAGTTCAGGAGAGCCCACTCTGAAGCTGGCTAGACCTTCTCCATCTCGATCTGCTGGTGGTAGTGCCGAGCCTGCCGCTGGCCAACGTTCAGCTTGTACACAGAGCTCTTGTGCTGGCACCTGCGGTAGCCCCACACTGCCCCAACGCCCGCCAGGAGCAGCAGCAGGCACAAGACGGTGACAATGGTGGCAATGACGGGGCCTCTGCTGAGGCTAGGACACTCATCCCCTACACATGGCTCCAAGGTTGGAAGAAGCTCCTCAGTTACACCTGGGCCAGGGCCTTCCTGTCCCAAGAAGTCCTCAGACAGCAGGTATGGGAAGTTATCCTGGACCTTAGGAGCCATGGTTTCCACTGGAGTCTGGGTAGTTGAGGGAATGTGGGTAGGCATCTTCGGGATAGCATTTGTTACTGTCTCCAGGGTAGAGCTGGTGAGTCCATAGGGTAGGGTGGCCATGGGAGACTTCTCTGTGGCAAATCGCCAAGGAACAGTTGACTGGTACCTGGTCAAGTCAGCCTCCCCCCTGCTGGGACCCTCAGTTTCAGACACACTCTTGGGTCTGAGAGCCAAAGCTTCTACATCTAATGTTTGAGATGGAAGAGCTGAATTTTGGGTCATGTCCTCACGTGGTGTGAGGGTGGAACTCCTGGGCTTAACTTCCACAAGAATGGGCTGATGGGAAGTAAATACAACACATTCTTCCAGCCCTACTGACCCATCCCCCTTGTCCCCATCTTCCTCCTCTTCTGCCTCTTCTGCCTCTGTCTTCCTCCAAGCCCCATCGGTCACAGGGTAGCCATCTAACCAGGATTCATCGCTGCTGCTCACCATTGGGTCTCCTGCCTTGCTGTCATTCCTGCCCCCATATGGCCCAGAGGGATCAGTGCTGCTATAGATCGCCTTGGTTTCAGCTTCACCTGGGGCCAATGTTATGCCACTGTGGTTGTCTCTAGCAGGAAACTGCTTTTTGGTGTCATCATCCATCTCTTTTTCCAACTCAAGCTTGTGGAAGGTCGCAGCAGGAAGCCAGAACAAGTATTTCTGGTTTAGTATCCATCCCGGCAGGTCTGTGGGGACACTGCTCCCAGCACTGGGCAAGCCTGTGGTTGACACAAAGGCTGTATCCCGGCCTATGTTTTCTCTCCCCACAGAAATGGAGACCAGATGGTCCTGTTTTGGAGCCTCCTCAGAGACCTCACCCTGACCCCTGTCCTCTGCCTCTGTCCGGGAATCCTCCACGAGCTCTTTGAATGACACAGATCTGTCATCAGGGAAATTATCTTCATAGTCAATATGTGCCTCAGCTTCATCTGGAAGGAAAGAGGGGAAAACCTCATTTTCATGTCCAAGGTCACAGAGCCAGTGCAGAATACAAGAAAGGGAATTGAAAAGCATAAGGACTGGTACAGGTGAAATAAAACTGTCATTGACAGATGATACGTTTGTGCATCACAGATAAACCCAAAGCATCTACATATAAAAACTGTTATAATTAATAACTGAGTTTATCAGGGATACTGGGTCAATAGTCAATATAAAATATCAATTGTATTTCTATATACCAGTAATAAACAGAAAATAAAAATTTAAAGAGGTCCAAACTGATTTATCTAGATTTAATACAATCCTAATAAAAATCTGATGCTAACATTTATGGCAATGCAGAGGGCCAAGAGTATACAAGGCAATCTTGAAAAAAAACAAAAAAGCTGGAGAATGTACACTATCAGATTTCAAGATTTACTATAAAACTGGAGTACTTTTTTTTTTTTTAAGATTTTTACTGGGGTATTGGGGGGAAGGGAACAGTGCTAGGGAATTGGGGGAAGGGGAACAGACAAGTTGCTGTCGTTTTGTTCTTCAGTCTAGTTGTGGAGGACGTTGCTTTACTGGCCCAAGTTGGCACCATCATTGCGCTCTTCCCTGGCGAGGCAGATCAGTCGCCGGCTTCTGGACGGCCGCTCACTGCAGCTGCTGGCCGCTCACGCTGGCTGCTGGCTATATACGGTAGCCCATGGCAACCCACGGCCACAGGGGCTGCAGCCTAGCCGTCGCCGGCGACTCACGGCAGCCCAGCTCCAGGTTGAGCTGTTGTTCAGCATCTTAGCTGTGGAGGGCAGTGTCACTGGCCCTCATATGTGGGATCCGAACCGGGGCCCTCTGGCGTCCCAAGCCAGCTCTTAACCATCGCGCCACTCGGCCAGCCCCATGGAGTACTTTTTAAGACCCTGGTATGGGCACAAAGATCCATAATAGGATTACACTAACATTATGAACTTCTGTTCATCAAAAGCCACTGCGAAGAGAGTTAAAATGCAAGCCACAGAATTGAGGATATTTGCCACACATATAACCTCCAAAGGGTTTGTATCCAGACTTTATAAAGAACTCCTACACATCTGTAATAATTAGGCAGACCAACCATAGCCAATTTGGCAAGATACTTGAACTGGCACATCGCAAACAAGAAATCTAACTAGTCATTAAACGTGGAAAGATGCTCAACCTCAATAGTAACAGAGAAATGCTAATTACAGCCATCGTGAGACGCCATTACAGAGCACCAGGATGGCTAAAATTAAACAGACTGGTAATATCTAGCACTAACAAGGATGTGCGGCACTGTTGGTGGGAGTGTGAATTGGAACAACCATTATGGAAAACTTCCCCCGGGCATCGCTACTAAAACTGAACATATGCACGCCTCACGGCTCAGCAATCCCACTACTAAATATATACTCAACAGTAATGTGTACACGTGGGCACTGAAAGATAGGCACGAGAATGCTCAGAATAACCAAAACCTGGAAACAATTCAGGTGTCCATTAGCTGCGGAACTGAGAATACACTGTAATATATTCATACCATGAAAATCTGTACATCAGTGGAAATGAACCAGCCACAGCTTCCAACAAGGACATGGATGAATCTCACAGCCATGATGTCGAACCAAAAAAGCCAGGCACAAAAGAACACACTCTGTGCGACTCTATTGACATGAAGTTCAAAAACTGGCAAAACGAATCTATGATGTGAAAAGTCAGGATGGTGGTGACGTGTGAATAGGAGAGAAGGGGGACTACTGAGTCTGGGGCACCAGCAGGGCTTCGGGGTTACTGCAACTTCCCACTTCTTGACCTGTGTGGTGGCTAAGACTCTTTGTTTTCTGATAACTTATTGATCATTCCCTTATGATTTGTATGTATGTTATAATTAAGTAAAAATGTACCTTTTAAAGACACTGATTTGCTCTTGGTAAGACTTCTGAATCGCGGGACTAGGCTGTCAAGTATTCCGAATCCAGCTGAGTAGAAATGAACAGAGGCCCCATAGTGAGAGGCCAGAATTTAAGGATAGCAGGTAAGGAAGGCTCAAGAAGCTGTGTCCTCAAGAGAGCTGAGCTTTCCCCAATCTCTGTGTCATTAAAAGTCAAGTCCTACTTGAACACATACTTAACTATTACAACAGAAAGCCTCCCTATGATATTGTGATATAATAAGAAATGTATATTTAGTCTTTGCCCCTGTTTCCTGGCATAGAGTTCCTAAAACTCTTGGAATTTCCTGAGTGATAAGGGTGATAGGAACATCTTTTGTTATTCATAACAAGCTTCCTTGACTATACCTGAGTTTATGTTAATGAGGTGATTCTTGGTGGGACCCTGATAGATTTAGGATGGGGAGGGGGGGCTGGTTGCCAGAGGAAACAACCATGTGATTAAAGGGTTGGAACTTTCAGGCCCACCCCCAACCTCTGGGGATGGGAGAGGAGCTGGAGAATGAGTTCCATGATTTATTCAATCATGCCCATGTAATGAAACTTCCATGGAAACCCGTAAACTACAGGGCTGGGAGAGCTTCCAGGTTGGTGGGTGCCCCCATGTGCCAGGAGGGTGAATCACCCCAACTTCACAGGGACAGAAACTCCTGTGCTCAGGGTCTTTCCACACCTCTCCCAATGTACCTCTTCACCTGGCTGTTCATCTGTATCCTTTATAGTAAACCGGTAAATATAAGTAAAATGCTTTCCTGAGTTCTGCAAACCATTCTAGTAAATTATTAAGCCTATGGAGGGGGTCATGAGAACCCTCAATTTATACCCAGTTGGTCATAAATATGGGAGGCCTGGGACTTAGATTGATGTCTAAAGTGGGGGGAGCAGTCTTGTGTGTCTGAGCCCGTAACCTGTGGGGTTGGCACTAACTCGAGGTAATTAATGGTAGAATTCAGCTGAATTGGACACCCAGCTACTGTCCAGAGGCTTGGAGGATTGGTTGTTGGAGTGTCTAAAACCCGCCCCCCAGCCGCATTTGCTGTCAGAAGTTTTCTGTGGGCAGAAACAGATCTTAGTTTTTCCCCACTTTATTTTGCACCTTGGAAAGCACAACATGTAAAAAACTCCAGAACCAAGGCCTGGAGGGAATGCTGAGGTGTCATGTGACACATTCCTGGACTCTGAAAATGGATTAGTGGGCATTTGGCTTATTTCAAATGTCAATGAAAGAATGTTCAAGCCTATAGAAACGTTTTATGAGTGTGAAGCAAATTTTTGAGGACATGCCCGGAAGCAAAATCTCAACAGATTGAGAAAATGCTCCAGAGAATGGCAGTTGTGCAGCTTTTTTTTATACATTAGAATCAAAGGGTAAGACGTAGAGAGGGTTACATGAAATCCATTTCTATTGGTGGTAGGTTAAGGGGGTGGGAGAAAACAAAGTGGGGAAATCTCTAGGATTGAATGAAAAATCAAACGGAGAGACACACACTGCTTTTACACTGGTGGGCACAGGATAGATAATGAACATTTACAGCACGTAGAGATGGTGTGTGGGGAACAAGGTAACAATGGGGGGGGGGTCTGTGGTCTTGTGCTCTGGTGCCTGCAGTTGTGCCTTGGAGGGCTCTAGAAAAGAAAATTACTCTGCCATGTCAAGGGTATGTTATCCTAGATGCATAAGAACAGTGGACAGCGCTCACTTAACATGAAGATTGACGTTTGCTAAGGAAGCTACGGGCCTGGGACGTGACTACCCGCCATGACCTGCCCAGTTAGGAATTTATAATCAAACCCGTTGACATGGGAGCTGACAGCATTCACTTGTGTAAACCCAGCCAAGACCAGAAGAATGATCCAGTTGAGTCCAGCCCAAGCTGCCAGCACAAAGAATTGGAGCCAAATGAGGGATTGTTGTTTTACAACATTGAGTTTTTTGGGGGTGGCTTATGCCGAAAAAGCTAACTAACACACCAGCAGTGAGGCGCTCGAGGGCAGGGACCAAGGCGTGTTATCCCTAGAGTGGAACAGCGCCCAGCCCATTGGAGGGATTCTTGAATGACTGAAGGAATCAATGGCACTAGGAGGACAAGGAGGAGAAAGCTGCAGCAGCTCAGACCCCAAGACTCTCCTCATTCCTGCCTCATAATCGCTCAAAGCTCAGATCTATATCCAGGAGCACAGTGTCCCAACACACAAGAGAATTACAGGCTCATTTCCACATTCGGAGGGATGAATTACTTATAACCATGATCTCTTATAACACCCTGAAGACCCTCTGAACGAGGTGACATCATTGAAGGACTACTTGACTACACAGACATACACAATGCGTGTGTCACACGCACACACGATGGTGAGCAAAGCAGCCCACAGTCTGGCCTGTGACAGCATCTATTCTCTTCCCAGCCCCTTCTCGGTGCCCCCATCCCTATCAATTTATGTATGTATGTATGTATTTATGTATTTTTTTAAAGATTTTATTGGGGAATTGGGGGAGGGGAACAGCGTTGGGGAATCAGGGAAGGGGAACAGACAAGTTGCTGTCCTTTGGTTCTTCAGTCTAGTTGTGGAGGACGTCGCTTTACTGGCCCACGTTGGTATCATCATTGCGCTCTTCCCGGGTGAGGCAGATGGGTCGCTGGCCACTCGACAGCCACTCACAGTGGCTCTTGGCAGCTCACACCGGCTGCCAGCCACTCATAGCTTAAGGCAGCCCACTGCAGCTCCACTGCAGCCTACGCCGTCGCCGGCGACTCACAGTAGCCCAGCTCTATGTCGAGCTGTTGTTCACCATCTCAGCTGTAGAGGGCGCAGCGTCACTGGCCCACATGTGGGATCTGAAGCGGGGCCCTGCTGCTCAGAGCTGGCATCCCAAGCCAACTTTTAACCAACGCACCACTCGGCCGGGCACTCAATTTAAACGGGCACCCAAGTTGAACTTCCCCCACCCACTGCATGTAGATTTATCATAATGAAGCAGGGAAGTGATACTTGTCTACCAAAATTTAGTCCTAATTCAAAGAAACTTCTCAT